AAAACAAAAGAAAAGCCAGATGTAACACTGGCTGGACAGATTATGTGTATTGTAGTGTAATAAACGACAACAGAAGAAAAGCCAGATGTAACACTGGCTGGACAGATTATGTGTATTGTAGTGTAATAAACGACAACAGAAGAAAAGCCAGATGTAACACTGGCTGGACAGACTGTGTGTATTGTAGTGTAATAAACGACAACAGAAGAAAAGCCAGATGTAACACTGGCTGGACAGATTATGTGTATTGTAGTGTAATAAACTAAAACAGAAGAAAAGCCAGACATGACACTGGCTGGACAGACTATGTGTATTGTAGTGTAATAAACTAAAACAGAAGAAAAGCCAGATGTGACACTGGCTGGACAGATTATGTGTATTGTAGTGTAATAAACTAAAACAGAAGAAAAGCCAGATGTGACACTGGCTGGACAGATTATGTGTATTGTAGTGTAATAAACTAAAACAGAAGAAAAGCCAGATGTGACACTGGCTGGACAGATTATGTGTATTGTAGTGTAATAAACTAAAACAGAAGAAAAGCCAGACATGACACTGGCTGGACAGACTGTGCGTATTGTACATAAACTAAAACAGAAGAAAGTCAGATATGACACTGTTTAGACAGATTCTTTTGTCTACTTTTGATTAGTTTTGACATGTTTTTTTTAATTGTGCTTTTTGATTTTCCAGAAAATATTTTAATAATTGCATTAAAAATATAGTAGGTTGTTTATATCTGAGATTGTCTGACCAATGTTAATGTAAAATTTTGGGATAAGATTAGGAAGAGTTGTTTTGGAAAGGCAGCGAAACTGGTTGAGTAAGATTCGGGTAATTTTTCATTTATAAAACAAAATTTTTTTTTCTTCTTTGGAAAAATTTTTTAAGTTTAACTAAAGGCTAATTTTTCTCTTTTTCATTCAGTTTCCAAGACGAACCTATCAGTTCACGAAGATAAAAATCGTGTTCCATATGTCAAGGTATGTTTTTAAACAAGTATTTATACATTATATTTTACTTCATGGCTTGCAGATGGATCTTAGGACCTATAACATTATTAAAATGGTAAGGTTGGAGATTTAAAGGTTTTTATGAAAAATGATTTGTTTATCAAGAAGTTATATCTAGCTACAGCACCAGAATGTGAAGTTCAAACATTTACTTATAGAAATTCTTCAATCAGCCCTAAACATAGCATATTAGCTATCATGAAACTAGTTCAAGATGGTTCATCAAAAAAATGCAAGACAATGGATTTGATGAGAACTGTTTAGTAACACAGTTCAGGCTACTGACAGTGAATGGACTCGGTGAGAACTGTGTAGTAATGCAGTTCAGGCTACTGACAGTTAATGGACTCTGTGAGAGCTGTGTAGTAACACAGTTCAGGCTACTGACAGTGAATGAACTGTGTTACTACACAGCTCTCACCGAGTCCATTCACTGTCAGTAGCCTGAACTGTGTTACTACACAGCTCTCACCGAGTTCAGGCTACTGACAGTGGATGGACTCACTTCACACCTTGTTGAATTCAATGTGTTGTAGTCATTGCTGTGCAATAATATGATATGTAGGCATATCATCTTCTTTTATTTGTATAGGAAATTTCTCAAGTTTTTCATTTATCTAATTCCTGAGCATCTGGATCATAAACACGTGGTCCAGGAAACCATTGAAGTTTCCTTGTTCTGGGTGGTTTGTTTTGTTGTTTGCTATGGCAGGTAATAATTATCATGCTTGAGGGGATGTTGAAGTAATATGGTACATCCATGTTAAAAGGATTACCAGCTGTAATATTCTGGCTGCATAGATATTGTTTGTATGTCAGAGGCTGCAAATACTCTGAGAGAGCAAGAGTCACGAGATGATGCCATTGGCTGGACAAAGAAACTAAGGTTACCTGTTAAATTGAAGCTTTGTTTCTTTGTTCAGTTCGTTTTGGAGATCAGCATGTTTAGTTCTACAGAGAGGGCTGGGGACCTAATCATGATCTGTTATTGTCTGCACTGGTACATGTGCTGCATTTTCTTTTTGTTTAGTTGTAATAGAGATTTAAAAAAAAAACTAGTCCAATTTTATTATTTCTCACACACGAAAACACAGTCAACTTTTCAAATAGAGATTACTACACAAATTTCCTGTTGTAATTAAAGGACCCATTCATCTAGATCAGTTTCACTACTCATTTCAGGTTACTGATAAAGAGGTGAATGAGTTACAAACTTTAAAGTTTGCCGTTTCTGCTGTGTAAGTATATTGGAAAATGTTTTTTTATTTATTGGATTAGTATTTTACGTTCACTGGCTAGATTATTGTATATTCTGGAGTGTTTAGTAACTTAATACACACTTTCATAGTATTGTATTTTGTAGTTAATGTGCCATTTTTGTTTAGTGCTATATAAAAAGTGTTATTTTATCCACTACAAGTAATATGTTTTATAAAAAAAAGAAATATTTCTTCTAGGGAGTATCGGAACGATTCGTCACCACTCCTGAAGAAGTAATGGAAGTGATTGATGAAGGAAAATCTAATAGGCACATTGCTGTGACCAGTAAGTCCAGTCTTTATATTGGGAATCTAATAGGCACATTGCTGTGACCAGTAAGTCCAGTCTTTATATTGGGAATCTAATAGGCACATTGCTGTGACCAGTAAGTCCAGTCTTTATATTGGGAATCTAATAGGCACATTGCTGTGACCAGTAAGTCCAGTCTATATTTTGGGAATCTAATAGGCACATTGCTGTGACCAGTAAGTCCGGTCTTTATATTGGGAATCTAATAGGCACATTTCTGTGACCAGTAAGTCCAGTCTTTATATTGGGAATCTAATAGGCACATCGCTGTGACCAGTAAGATGAGTAATAATACTCAGGTGCACACCCTCAGGGTCCACATAGTACGGATGCAGAATTTCAGGTTTCTACGGTCTTTCCTCTTGGAGTTATGGCG